AAACATCGGAGAATGAAACAAACCGGTTAAGATTTACATTTCATGGAATACATTTCATTGGGTTTGCTGTTCGTTTCGGTCTTTTTTATATGAAGAACTATATAGACAAACATGTGTTGTTGTTGGTGCCATCATGCACCGCTCGTATTTTATGGACACGTTTCTGATGCTACTTCTGTTGTATCTTTTAGGAAAATGCCTATTTTTAAAGTACAGAACCGCACTCTCCCTCTTCTCCTCCCCCACATTGCTGTATCACTTCTGCTGTTGACTTCTTTAAAAAAGAAATGCCGCTATTTTTTCTTTATATGGTTAGTGTTGTATTTGTTGTTTCTTTTTTATATACTCTTTTATATAATCTCTATGTTACCTCCTGCTAAGTTTTCACTTGCAAATAACATGTTCTAGGTAGCGTAGAAGAATGGAAAGTTGTCGATGTTTCGAGTTGACGATGATATGTTAATTTGATTGATTTAGAAAAGGAGATTTTTTTATTTGCTGCTTAAAAATTTTAAATAGAAAAAAAAAACAAAATTAAATTTTATAAATTGTTTGGTGGTTGCAAAATGCTCCCGTTTCAACGGGAAAAGAAATACCATTTTCAGATCTTCGAAGAATTACTTCAGGATTTTTCTGAAGTAATTCTTGTCTTCAATGATTATAAAAATTCGACTACGAGTTTGCTCAAAAATAGCTTCTCACTTAGTGTTCCAGCTGTTCCAAACATAATTCAACTTCAACTATAATCTTCAATTATAATTTACCTAGTTTTAAGGTAGCAGATAAAGACTAGCTTCCTATTTGAGACTCATTGGACTTAAGTTTGGTAATAAATACCGCAGCCGTGGCATATTCTTGACTACAAGTACCTTATGTCCTCTACTCGACTATAAAGACTTCTTGATCTTCAGAACGAACATAGTAAAATCGTCTTGACTTTTAGCTCCTTCGTAAATATTGTAGTGTTTGGTCTATGGAGAATCCGCCCCTTTAGAGATAACAAATCATTCTGCTGACTTGACTTTTATATAAAGAAGTTTTGGCTCCAGTTTGACTATAAATCTTACATAGGCTTCATATTTCTTTTTTTGTCTACAAGGATTCTCCGACTCTAAACTCTCTATGGTTTATTATGACTGGTCAACCTCAGCTGATCTATTAAGAGGCCCATTTTAGTTCGGCTACAAGAAATTTCAATATGATCATCTATAAAAACTGGCCTAAGCTCTCTTAGCCTTTAAAACAACCTAAAATAAACATTTCTTTTTTTAATTTTTTGGAGCTAAAAAAATGTATGGCATTTTGCATAACCAACGAGATAGACCCTTGGTTCCTTTGAGAATATGCATAGATTCACTTTCTGAGTCGATTTATGAGTTTCCTTTGGTCCGTCCGTCCATCTGCCTGTCCATGTTAAATTGTAAACAAAGTACAGGTCGAATTTGTCATCGGAATTGTATAAAATTTTGCAAAAATCACGAAATTGGTAAAATGGCAAACACTACTCAAATTGGGAAAATCGGTTCAGATTTAGATATAGCTCCCATATACATATATTTTAGTCCGATTTAATGTAAATTATGCCCCAAAGTCACTATATATCTTTCGATTAGCACGAAATTTGGCGTAGCGTACTGAATCGAGTCTAGTAGAATGTGTGCAAAATTTCTTGAAAATCGGTTCAGATTTAGATATAGCTACCATATCGACGCCTCCGAACCATAGTATGCTAAGTCTGAAAAGTGATTTTTTCAGTAGAAGCTTTCAAAGTATGGAAGTTTCTTTAATCGTACGTGCCATGCTAAGTACATTTTTGCTTATAACTTTGGTTTGGATTGGCCGATGATTACCAAAATTTCAGTGAATTTAAATTAAGGACCGTAGAATCTTAAAACGTAAAGAACTTTAAAACATGCTAAGTCGTCTTAGCATACTATGGTTCGGAGGCGTCGATATGTATTTTTTGGTCCGATTTAATTTAAATGGCGCACTAAAGTCCCTATATAAATTTCGATTAGCACGAATTTTGATAAGACGTACTGAATTAAGTGTAGAATGATATGTGTTAAGTTTCGTGAAAATCAGTTCAGATTTAGATAGATCGCCCATATATATTTTCTTTCGTTTTTATGTAAATGGGGCACCAAAGCCCCTATATTTCCTTTGATTTGTACAAATTTTGGCATAGTGTACTGAATTAAGTCTAGAATGATGTGTGCTAAATTTCATGAAAATCGGTTCAGATTTACATAAAGCTCCCATATATATTATTTTCCGATTTTAATTAAATGGTGCACTAAAGTCCAAAGTTAGGCGATTGGTGGAGGCACAGACATATCTCTCATATCTTGATCACCAAATAATCATCAGGTGTCCAATTGGCATAAAAAATTGGACATGCCGATGTGCAGCAGCATACCGAATATCGTATGCCATGTTTGCTTTAAATATATTTACATAATTTTGCCCCATTGTACATAAACGACTCTAAATCTGCCCCAATGAAAAGAGGTGTCTGTTAGGATCTGTTGAATATACCCAAAGTGGTGAAGCGTATCATATAGTCGGCCCCGTCCAACTTTTCTGGTTTTAAATGATCTAAGGTAAATATTATATTGACCAGGACTACCTATAAGGACTATACGTACGAGCTGAGAGAAACCGGAATAATGGACTCGTCTATAAAGACTCATCGTCTAAAGACTGTATAGTCTGTTTTTCGACTCTTTTAAATGCCAGACCTTCATCTCGACCACCTACAAGGACTCTCTCTTCATCAGCTCTGTCTATAAAAACCTCGATTCAATTCTTCTATAACAATTTGTCCAGCTCTTCTATAGTGACATTATCCAGTTTGTGTAAAAATTTTGAAAATATTACCTTCAACTCAGCTCGTCTATGAAAGACTGCTTTCAGATCGTCTATGAATGACTCCTTTCAGATCGTGTATGAAATATTCCCTTCACCTTCCTTATATTGTCCATAAGGATTACTTTCGTCATAAATGATTTCATTCTATGCGACGTTACAAAAAATCCCAAACGAAAAAAATAATGAATAAATCAACAATTTAGGTCACCTACCGAATGCCCCAAAAAATTCAGCCCCGGGTATCGAATTCGAATAAACTGTCGTTTTCATATTTATTAGTTAAAATATAAGTCAAAGAAAAACATTTGTCATTATTTGTAGCCATGGCTGCAGTTGAATTGTAATTTCGGTGTATATGCCTCATTAAAATCATCATAAATATCATTATGGGAGTAATTATTTTTTCTGAATTAAAAAAATTAAAATAAACTACATCTTAACACACAGAAGCCACCAAACCTAAATGACTCGTCATTTAAAATTAAATACAAAAAGAAACAGGTGTTTTGTTTTTTTTAATTCATGTCTAGCTACGCAAGAAATTGAAAAAAAATGCAGACATGACAGTTACACATTTTACAATTTGATTTTCTATTTTTAAAAATGTGTGTGTGTAGGCAAATTGGCAAATATCCACAAATCGATGACCAAGAACATTATCATAATCATCATCAGAACCCCATTATAAATATCACTGTCAGATTTACATATCAAGAATGAGAGACATGACGAACGGTTTTTGGGGTTGGCAATTTTTCACTTTTACTGGACATGCCTCAAATATGATTTACCATTTAATTTGATTTGTATTCGCCTTGATTTCCATGCTTGATTTGTAATTTCTGATTGGATCTGAATTGGCATGGTGGATTTAACAGCTGTCAGTTGGTTGGTGGGCACCCACTTGTCCCAAAGTCAAATTAATCTCGTCAGTGGTCATTTGTTTTTCTCTCTCCCTCTCTGCTAAGGAGGATTTATTTGAACGACCTTTTTACGATTGTTAGAATTTGGTAATTTTCTTAATTTTGTGAAATTCATTTAAGCCAGCATGGCCTACAAGTGTCGCATTAATCATGATACCTCCTACTGGTCACTATGTAGCTTGTAGGCTGGTAATATCCTTTTAGGAATTTAATTACTCAGAATAAATGACGTGTAATTTTTCTACAGAAATAATAAATAGCTCATTTGAAGTCTGAAGCTAACAGTTAAACACAAGCTGAAGTAGGGAGCCTTTATAGGCAAGCTGAAGCAGGGAGCCTTTATAGGCGAGCTGAAGCAGGGAGCCTTTATAGGCGAGCTGAAGCAGGGAGCCTTTATAGGCGAGCTGAAGCAGGGAGCCTTTATAGGCGAGCTGAAGCAGGGAGCCCTTTATAGGCGAGCTGAAGCAGGGAGCCTTTATAGGCGAGCTGAAGCAGGGAGCCTTTATAGGCGAGCTGAAGCAGGGAGCCTTTATAGGCGAGCTGAAGCAGGGAGCCTTTATAGGCTGAGCTGAAGCAGGGAGCCTTTATAGGCTGAGCTGATGCAGGGAGCCTTTATAGGCGAGCTGAAGCAGGGAGCCTTTATAGGCTGAGCTGAAGCAGGGAGCCTTTATAGGCTGAGCTGAAGCAGGGAGCCTTTATAGGCTGAGCTGAAGCAGGGAGCCTTTATAGGCTGAGCTGAAGCAGGGAGCCTTTATAGGCTAAGCTGAAGCAGGGAGCCTTTATAGGCGAGCTGAAGCAGGGAGCCTTTATAGGCGAGCTGAAGCAGGGAGCCTTTATAGGCGAGCTGAAGAAAAAATCGAAGACCTCAGTTCCCACTGAGGTATTTTTTCTATAGAAAAAAATCTCCCTGACATCATTTCCCACTGAGGTCATTTTTTTCGTATAGAAAAAAATTCGAACAGACCTCAGTTTTTTCGAATAGAAAAAAATTCGAATAGACCTAAGTTCCCACTGAGGTATAAATATAAATATAGGAAACCACCGTTCAGAACTTGAAGTCCTTGACTTTTCGATAGAAAAATCAGACCCCAGTTTGTTAAGGCATTTTTTTCTATATGCAAAAATTAGACCTCTTAGATTTTTCCCCATTTTTTGTATCCATTTTACTAATTCATTTTCTATCTCTCTCTTTTTCTCTTCTTACAGTCAGGTGGCACAACCGTCCCATTGGAGCACAACACTGTACGTTTTGTGGATAATTTTAGTGCCGGTACACGTGGCTCCTCATCCGCTGAATATTTCCTAGATCATAATTATGCGGTCATATTTATGCATCGTCTCAAATCGTTGGAACCATTTACCCGCCATTTTACCGGTCAGCAATTTTTCGATATGCTCGATATAACCGATAATGGCCAGAGTACTTCGATTACCGTGAATCCTGATTCGGTAGATGTTTTTGCACCGATTTTGGCGAAGTATAAACAGGCTCGTGAATCCCAAATGATTTTATATGTCAGCTTTACAAGTGTCGTGGACTATATGTGGCTGTTGAGGGCAGCCTGCGAATGTTTGGCTGCATTTGAAGATCGTGCGGTGTTGTATTTGGCTGCGGCGGTATCGGACTTTTATATACCACAGGATATGATGGTGAGTAGTGAAATGAAAGAAGAGAAAATTATTTATAAGGGAATCCTCTCTCCTTAACGCAATGGATGCATATGTGAACAGTTCCTGAAGGAAGATAAATAAAAAATGGAAAATAACTCCCATCTCTGCAACGCTTCAAAGATGCATATGTGAATAACGAAAATGAGGACTGAAATCCTTTGATTATTATAAAATGTATAATTATATATATTTTTTATAAAAAATCGAAGACCTCAGTTCTAAGGTATTCTTTTCCATAGAATAACATCACAGTTCTGAGGTATGTTTTTCTAGAGAAAAATATCAAACCCTCAGTTCTAAGGTATTTTTTCCTTAACAAATCAAAGGCCTCAGTAATTATATTCGCCCTATGAATGCTCATGTGCCATTGTAGGAAGAAATAAAAACGCCAATACCTCCCATCTCTGTTAGTCCACCTATTTTCTTTGTTTTTCACCTCTTTCTTTTCAATGACAATTTATTGAATCAATATTGATTTATGAAAATGATTTCAAAAGGAAATTTCTTTTTTCTAATTTAATAATGCCATCCACGTGCCAAAACCATACGAAGACCACCCGATCTGTCGTCAGACAACATTGTTCATTTCTAGTTTTTTTGCTTTGTTTTAAACCCCAGACTATGTCGTATTTTTTGTCGTAACACAATACCCGTTTTGGCCCCATTGCACCACCTCTTTTTGCCCGTCATTGCATCAACAATACTAGTCTGAGAATTTTGATTTGAAAAAACATTTCATGCGTGTTTTTGTTGTTGTTTTGTCACGTTTTTTTTTCATTTTCATGTTAACATTTAGGTTTCTATTGTCTTGCGAACAATGCCAGTAAATTTCCTTCCTTTTTCTATTATTCTATTTTATTTTCTTCGAACTAGAATTGTTCATATATATTTTTTATGGTCTTCGGAGATTATGGGATTTATAGAATTTTATGGAAAATATAAGATTTCATACTTCCGAGCTGAGATCTAATTACTAAAAACTGAGATATATTACCTCAGATCTGAGGTATAATACCTCAGAACAGAGATTTATTGCCTCAGAAATGAGATATAATACCTCTAAACTGTGACCTTTCTGATATCTCATAAGTGAGGTCTAATACCTCAGATGTGAAGTCTGATTGCTCAGATCTGAGATTAGATGCCTCAGAAGTGAGGTCCGATATCTAAGAACTGTCTATAAAGTATACGTGAGGTCTGAATTTGAATGAGATAAGAAAATAATCTAAAGAAAAAATACCTCAGAACTGAAGTCTGATTTTTTTCAATAGAAAAAATACCTCCATATTAAGGTCAGAGTTTTTTCTATAGAAAAAAAAAATTGAGGTCTGATTTGTTGGTGTAGAAAAAACTTCAGAAAAATCAAACATCAGTTCTGAGGTCAGATTTTTTTCTATAGAAAAAATATAGAAAAAATAATCTCAGAACTGAGGGCTGATGTGTTTCAACAAAAAAATACCTCAGAAAAATACATTTTTTCTATAAAAAAATTTATCTCCGGTATGATCAATTTTTTTATAGAAAAAAAAAATGCCTCAGTCTTATGGTCCGATTTTTGTTTTCAATAAAAAAAAATACCTCAGAACTAAGGTCAGGAGGTCCAATTTTTTTCACAAAAAAAAACCTTAGTCTGATGGTCTGATTTTTTTCTATAGAAAAATACCTCAAAACAAAGTTCCAATTTTTTCTGTAGTACTAAGCTAAGATCAATTTTTATATAGAATAGAATACCTCAGAGATTATCGAAAGGAAGGTCAGTGTCGTGCAAATTTTTCTATACGAAAAAAATGCCCTCAGTGGGAACTGAGGTCTGAGCGATTTTTTTCTATACGAAAAAAATGCCCTCAGTGGGAACTGAGGTCTGAGCGATTTTTTTCTATACGAAAAAAATGCCCTCAGTGGGAACTGAGGTCTGAGCGATTTTTTTCTATGCGAAAAATGCCCTCAGTGGGAACTGAGGTCTGAGCGATTTTTTTCTATACGAAAAAATGCCCTCAGTGGGAACTGAGGTCTGAGCGATTTTTTTCTATACGAAAAAAATGCCCTCAGTGGAAACTGAGGTCTGAGCGATTTTTTTCTATACGAAAAAAATGCCCTCAGTGGAAACTGAGGTCTGAGCGATTTTTTTCTATACGAAAAAAATGCCCTCAGTGGAAACTGAGGTCTGAGCGATTTTTTTCTATACGAAAAAAATGCCCTCAGTGGAAACTGAGGTCTGAGCGATTTTTTTCTATACGAAAAAAATGCCCTCAGTGGAAACTGAGGTCTGAGCGATTTTTTTCTATACGAAAAAAATGCCCTCAGTGGAAACTGAGGTCTGAGCGATTTTTTTCTATACGAAAAAAATGCCCTCAGTGGAAACTGAGGTCTGAGCGATTTTTTTCTATACGAAAAAAATGCCCTCAGTGGAAACTGAGGTCTGAGCGATTTTTTTCTATACGAAAAAAATGCCCTCAGTGGAAACTGAGGTCTGAGCGATTTTTTTCTATACGAAAAAAATGCCCTCAGTGGGAACTGAGGTCTGAGCGATTTTTTTCTATACGAAAAAAATGCCCTCAGTGGGAACTGAGGTCTGAGCGATTTTTTTCTATACGAAAAAAAAATGCCTCAGTGGAAACTGAAGTCTTCGATTTTTTTCTATACGAAAAAAAATCCCTCAGTGAATTGAAGTCTTCGATTTTTTTCTATACGAAAAAATGCCCTCAGTGTGAACTGAGGTCTTTGCGATTTTTATACGAAGGAAATGCTCTCAGATGGGTACCGAGGTTTCGGCGATTTGTTTTCTGTACTCAGTTGGGATTTGAGGTCTGCCGAAGTTTTCTCTATACGAAAAAATTCTCTCAGTTGGTAACTGAGGTCTCGGCGATATTTTTCTATACAAAAAATATATCTAAGTGAAGTGAGGTATTTGCTACTCCCCGGACTTCTGATCGGTTGTGCAGACTCCCAGCAAGTCTATAAAGGTCTATAAGGGTTTTAAAGGCTTCTTTCAGTTCATCTATAAAGACATTCTAGCCTTAATGTTGGTTGTAGAGACTCCCCTATGGAAACTCTTCTGTCTTCAGACTTCCTGACCCTCAGTTCGTCTATAAAGGTTCTCCGAACTTAAAATTGTAAAGGTTCTTCCAGTCAGTCTTCAGAGACTTCTATGAGTCTTCAGAGACTCACAGGCCTTCAGCTCGTCTTTAAAGACTACTTGGGCTTAGAGTCTTCTAAGAAAGACTCCCTAGACTTCACTTTACAAGGACTCCATTCACCTCGCCTAAAAATTACTTAAGCTCACACAGAAATACGATCGTTAACTCGGCTATAATGGACCCTTCTGACCGCATATAAAGGCTACCTGGGCTTTAGGTATTCTTTAAAGGACTCCCTAGGCCTAAGCCCACCTATAAATCTTCATTCAGTTCATCTATAAACTGTTCTTTCAGCTCGCCTATAAAGGCTCCCTTCAGAACGCCTATAAAGATACTCTTCAGCTCGTTTATAAAGGCTCAGTGGTCTTAAACACACCCAGAAAGATTTTCTAGCCTACCCTATAAAGATTTAGGTATTGCCTATAATATTTTCTGATCATCGTATGGGCTGCCTATATCCTATATCAGATCACCTCAAAAAATCCGAAGCATCCCACACCTCTATAAATACTCAGCCTTGTGGCTAAAAAAATATTTAATTTTCATATTTTTATTACTTCTTTCAATTTAAAACAATTTCTTGCTCGATTTCCTTATCCTTTTTCGTCTTCTTCTTCTCGGTTTTAATCAACTCATAAATTAAATCCTCCACATAGCCGCCTGACATTGAACTCTATTTTTCTGCTTCAGTTTCTAATGGGCCATGGGTGTTCTATTTTTAACGACATGACTGCTTGTGATGACGGCACATTGCTTTGGTTTCCTTAAGCCTTAATATTATCATCCGCTCAATTTCTTCTAACAACACTTAGAGACGACTGGTGTTGTTGTTTTTTATTGCCCCGGGGCGCGGGTTGAAGTGAAAGTGGTGGTACTACACGGCTTAGTAGAGTGATGGTAGATGATGATGATGATGGTGATGTTGCCTTGACATTGACATTAGTGGAGGAACTAAACGCCAACTCAGCAACATTGAAGCAAATGGAGAGAATTCAAGGATTTCAAAGCTAACCAGACCTTTTGACATCGCCAACAACAACAGCAGCAATCATTCATGGACTGTTCTTCTTTGTGTGAATCGTGACCGTGATGATGTTGCTGACGACGGCCTGATGTTGGTAAATGCAACATCTTTAGAGGCGGTTGTTGGAAAAACCCACCAGCCAACCAGATGACGTTGTCTTGAACTTGTGTTGTTTCTTGTTTTCAGGGATGTCACCCAGATGAGGTGCCTCTTGTGGAACATTTACTAGAAGTTGGTTCTTTTTCTGTGGCCTCTTGAATCTGGTCTTGCTGGCCTTCTAGTGTTGGCGTTTTCCATTTTCTTTAACCTTCCCACATTCGTTTAGGTTTTTTGTGTGCCTTCCTTTCTCCTTCCTGTTGAATGAATGAAAAGTGATTGTCATTGTCGTTGTCACTTCATGTTTTACAGAATCCTTAACGATGTCATCGTTGTCGTCAAATAATAATTTCATTTGCATAATTTGTGGTTCAGAGTGTGTGTGTGCGAGCAGTAGAAGTGAATTTTACAATGTTCTTCCTTCTTCGTCATTGTCCTTACCTACTTCTAGGGGTTATTATTTAGGAACATCCTGTCCGACATGATGTTGGTATATATTATTTCTAGCACTTCCTTTTTTCTTCTTCTTCTTCTTCTTCAACTACTACTACTTTTTTTCTATTCGAATTTATGTTTCTTTATTCTGTGGGATCCTCATAAAAATGACAATGACTTTGTAAATTCTATAGAGAATTCTGGTCTGTGGGTGTTTTCTCGTTCGTTGGCCAAAAAGAAAATTTGAAAATTTTTATTTAAAAAAATAAATACCAAATTTTTTTCTG